ATCCATATAAAGAATGTGCTATTATAGGCAGTAGGGAATGGGGAATGTGCTAAGTTTGTTGAAATCATTGATGAATGTAAATATAAATATGTTCTAGAGTTGTTTGAGGTGTGGAATGAATCTACAAAAAAGAGAATGGTTATAGCTTCTTGGGTTTTGGCGCACTTTCACGACCAATTTTGCACTGACGAAGTAGGACTAATTTTATGATATTGAAGAGATAGGTTGATGTAAACATCGAAAAAATATATAATTGGTTGAAAACATCGGAATCTTGTGCTACAGAAAATGCTAAGAAATAAACGAACTATATATTAATCTGATTTTTTTCAGAAGCAACCGCAACGAAAAGTCGCACACTCTGTCGCCATGTTTTCTGCTGCAACGCACAGTAGCTTAGGCAAAAGGGGCCCCCTGTGGGCCAAAGGTCCGCGGCAAAATGCCGAAAGCTTCCAGAAGCTAAGGTCAAGCTGTCACAAGAGGCATGTCTTCAGCCTCCAAAACTCTCTGTTGACCTTAGCGCCTTTTGACGGTACCCTCTAAGCTGCGTTGTTCACGTTCAAGCACTCGGTCCTCTTCTGCAACCAAGAGGTAGTAGCCGCTGGAGCTTGTACAAAGTGTCGGCACCGCTGTGGAGCTTAGTGAGACAGTCGACGATCATGCTCTGGTGTTCGACTCAGCGGAACTGCACTCCCAAGCCATCTGCCCGCTCACGAGCAATGGCAACCTCTAAGGCCGTGTACTTGTCCTCGGCCTGCGCTCCTTCCTTGGTCACGTTGTCGAAGTAGGGAATCTCTGAGGACTCCACTTCCATCTCCACGCTGCAGCACCAGCCAGGTTTCGATGAAGCTTTCCCAGGCTTTCCTTTTCATCGGCAGTGGGCACACGAATCGCTGTCTCGGGTTGCAGCTCCTCTTCTTCAGCCAGCTCAGGCGACTGAAGCTCCGATTGAACATCCACAGGAAACGAATCGACTTGAACTGCTCCCCTTTTCTGCACAATCCCTTGCAAAGCTCCCGGGGCCGCCTGTGCAAAGTCATACTTTAGGGAGTCCGGAAAGTTGGTGATCATGCCCTGCTTGCGGAAGAGGAGGTAGGAGGCCGAACTTTGGCACGCCGATTGTAGCACTTTTGTTGCTGGTCGTCCGGCCCCTGCCTCAATCAGAAAAGGCAGCTTCCGAGCAGCATGGGCTCGGGACATCCTGAGCGCCATCTCGGCTCCGGGCTTGGTGCCGCCAGCCTTCAGCCAAAGAACTCGAGGCGCGGACTGACCACTGATCCCAAAGCTTGGCCTCGTTGTCAAGGCAACCTTGGTCGCGAAAGCCCTGCTTCTCGAAGTCCCGCCGGTCTCTGCAGACCAAGCTGTTGCCCGGCTGCCCAACCGGGTGACCACGTAATCCTCAATGGCTGGGTTACCGGTGGAACCTGCCACCGATGGCCGCAACATCTCGAAGCTCGCCTTCTTTAGAACCACCGTGCCAGAAGCTGAGCGAGGCTCTAAAGAGAGCCTCCGTAGTCCATCACGTGGGCCACCTTGCTCCTCTGCTCCAGGATCGCCGAGTGGAAAAGGAAATGCTGCGCCGCGGTTTTCAGGTTGCTGACCACGCTCTCCCACTCGGCCTTGGTCTCCTTGGTGGGGAAGTAATTCGCGCGGCTCCTCCATCTCCCGAATCCGGCGGAACTCCTCGACCACTGCCATGGTTTGGTTCTGGGTCGTCGGGTCCATGTTCCCCACATTGTTCTCGACGGCCGCCCTCTCGAACTCCGTGCACCTCCCCGTCACCAAGTCCACCTGCGCCTGCATCTCCTCGATCGTCCTGCGCTGGCGGACGAGCTGCTCCATGAGGTCGCCCATCTCCATGTTGTGGGCCGCCTCCTTGCTGGCAAGGGCTTGTTCCGTCACCGCCTGCACCAGAGTCTTGGTCTCCGGCACCGGCTCGGAGTTCTCCACCAAAGCCCTTCCGGTAAAGAGTGCAGCGGTCCTTGGAGATAACACCCAGCGACTCCGGCAGAGGTGGCAATGAAACCAATTGGTGGCCATTCCCCCCGCCTTTGAGGGCCTCCGCGGGGCGTTGGCAAGCAGCTGGCTCCAAGTCGCCACGCCCTTTGCCCTGGAAAGCTGCTCGGGCTTCTTTTGCACGAGGTGGCTGCGGTAGGCCTGGCCTTTCTTGGTAGGAGCAAGCTTGGCTGTTGCCGAAGTCGAAGCCGAAGGTGCTTCCGTGATCGCAGGCGTCGGGTCCGGAGCACCTTGCACCAACCATTGGCCAACCACCCGCTGAAGCTGTGCCCAAGATAGCAGCGAGCAGAGCTTGTCCAAGATGACGCGCCAGTTTCGGAGGGCGCGTGCGCTTCGCAGGTGCGCGGCTGTACGAGTTGCCATGGGAGGCTGTATCACCAGCCATGGCGACCCACCGCCTTGAGCACGAATTGCTCTCTCTCCGAGCATCTGAGGCGCCGCCTCCAGCAGCTAACAAGCGCTTGGGCCGAGATCTGAAGTTTGGCTTGAAGTCTCCGAAGGTGACAGCCTAAACTCACTCTCGATCGACTTGTCTGGGCAGTCCCTAGGTAGAACCCATCCTGTGCCAAAGTCGGTGACATCAACTGCTGGGTGCCCTGACGAAAGAACTTGCATGTGACAACTGGCTCCGATAGCAGGCGTGTGCAAAAAGTTGCCGCCCAGGTCCACTTGGGCCTTCAAGGCGCGCAGAAGGTTCACCGGGATAAGGAGGGGAACATTATCGGCCGCCACCGTCGGGACACCACCCAGACCGACTGGCACCTGAACCACCCCAACCGTCGACCCCTTCCCGCCAATGCCACGGGCCTCTGAGGTTTTCCCGGTCCAATGCCCCTTCAGACCATGACGGCGGAGAGCCTCGAAGAGACGTAAAAGCGCATCCCTGCCAATGAGCCCTTCTTGTGCCGCCGTGTCAACAATCCCGTGGGTGCTTCTCGTGGTGACACCTATAAAAGGAGGGCCTCGTTCCCAGTCTTGGATTGCTCGGCCAAGAAAACGCTATGTGCATCTCGCTGCTGCCGGTCTTGGTCTGGACGTTCCACAAAGAAGTTGTGCGCCGAAGGGCCGTCGGTGGCTCAGAAGAAGGAAGTCCTGCTCGCCGAAGAAGGGGTAGAAGCTGAAGGGCCTCCTGAAGACGTGGTCGGTGGCCCATTTCGACATTCTCTGGACCAGTGTCTCAACTGCCCACAGGTGCGACACTTTGTCCTCATCTTGATCTCCTGCACGGTCAGGTTGGAGCCCTTCTCGAAGAACTTTGTCTTGCCTGTTCCTTTGCGGAAAGCGCCGCCACTCTTGCCTTTCCCTTTCCCCTTCGCGTCCTTGCCCTTGTGCGGGAAGAAACCCCTGCCATTCTTTTGCTGACGTATCTGTTCCCGGGTGTCCTGACAGCTCGCCAGGACCTCCAGCAGGTCGTCCTCCTCGACTGTGTCATTCTCCCCCAGGGCCTCGATCAGGTAATCGTCGAAATTCGGCTCGTCCTCCTGCTTCCTCCTCGGCAAAGTCCGGGTCGCCCTCTTAGAAAGCCGAGCCTTTCTTAGGGGCCTGCGAAGTGACCCTATCCAAGCGGCGGAGGTTGGCTGTCACGGTGTCCTTGCTGAAGTCGCCGGCCAACCAGGTCAGGAGCATGCTCTCGAGCTCCTGGCTCACCTTGATCTCGAAGCTGCGCTTGCGCCTGGGAGAAGCGGACCATGAAGTCGGGGATGGACCCGAGGCTGACCGAAGATCGCCGTCTCCATCGCCCTTGGCGACGCAGTTTCCTGGTAAGGCGAAAAGGCATCCTGAAGAAGCTTCCTTATCTGCTTGACACCGTCCTCGCTGGTGAGCTCGGCCACGGAGAGGGACTCTACAGCTTCCTTGGCAGTTCCGCTGAGAGCCTGGTAGACCTTCACTGCTCCCTTGGCCTTCGGTATCTCTGTGACTGCTTCCCAAAGGTCAAGCTCCTTCAGGTAATCTCTGGGCCCAACATCCGGCCCAGCAGGGCTCGCACCAGTCATTCTCGACTAAGTCATAGAGGCTGCAAAGGTCTCCTGGATCAGGACGTGTCTGGGGACAAAAGTCCAGCAGACACGCAGGCTCCGGTGCCAACTGATGTTATTCAGAAGCAACCGCAAGGAAAAGTCGCGCACACTGTCGCCATGTTTTCTGCTGCAACGCACCGTAGCTTAGGCAAAAGAGGGCCCCCTGTGGGCCAAAGGTCCGCGGCAAAATGCCGAAAGCTTCCAGAAGCTAAGGTCAAGCTGTCAGAAGAGGCATGTCTTCAATGAAAAGACTTAGGCAGACTTTTTATCTTTTGACTCCTTGAAAGATTGTGTAGAAAGAATTGAAAAATCGGAACAAACCAAAAGAGATAAACTATATTATAAACTACCCCCTGTGAGTTTGTGTAACTATTCAAGTATTTAGTTGGTAGTATCACCAAGTATTACATAACAGCATCTTAAAATGCTTATGTAATAACTGATAAAAAAATGGGCTGTATAATAGTTAGAATACACATCAAGGAAAGTGGGAACTGTACACAATAACGTTATTAAAAGATTTAAGCGTGTATCAGCGTTGGCCTAGCAGCCTGGCCCGGAGCCTCTAAGCAGAGCGGGACTGGTCGCACCCAGCACCCGGAGCCCAGGGACGCGGTAAGCGTCTCCAGTCCAAACACGCGTTCAAACCTTTATTCAACCATATTCGCCATGGCCTGGTACAAAAGCCTCTTAGTGCGACAACAGTGCTTAAGCAAATGGGCCATGTTTGCTCGAGTTCAGGTTGGACCTTTTTGGACCTTAACGGGCTCAAAACGATCTTGTCCGTCACTGGAACCTTTGTCTTTGTCCTAGACTCCCCGCTCTCTGCTACTCTCCCACCCCAGCCTGGGCTCTGCAAGGGCTTTGCGCAGGGCACCGTCGCACAGGAGGCACCTCTCAAGCCTCGAGAGAGGAAATCTCGCGTCGAGTGACCCGCAGGCAGTGCTGGGTCATCGGCAAGCGTGCCGCAAACCAAGTGTCGGCATCCGCCGGGCGCCAGTCCTGACTGAGAGTGTCTGTCGGTTGGAAAGAAGATAGCCGCGGTATTTTTTTGTCGGGGCAGCTCGGGGCCAGGCGAAGGCACTGCCATCGCTTCCTCGCGCCGGAGCACTGCCCTTTGGCCGGTCGGCTGCACGGAGGACGGAGAGCAGCTGGGAGCCTTGAGGGGAGAGCGCAGAGCACGGCACTCGGCACAGCGCGAGGAGGCGAGGATAGGCGAGGTCTGGTCCCTTGCCTGCGGCCGCTGCGGGCCCCTGCCCCGAAGCCTCTTCCAGACACGGCCGGAGCAGCACCTCCATCTCCGGGTGCTTTGTGCTTGCATGGCCCTGCACGGCCTTGCATGGCCTTTCATGGCCTTTCATGCTTCATGCTCTCTCCCACCTGGCGCACATCTGCGCTGCTTACCACCGTTTTCAGGAGAACCTGCGGCCAGCCCGGCCCGGCCCGCCGCACTCTTCAGCAGCCCTTGTGCCTCGATGGAAGCACGGAGCTCCAGCGAAGCCTGGACCTCTGCGAGCACAGCTTTGCGAGAGCCCCTTTTGGAGAGCGGCCCGAGCCCTTTCGTGCCTCTTCGCTTCCCAGCAAGATGGAGACCAGAACGTCCATTGCCGACCTCTCGACCTCGACGCGATGCATCACCGCCCACCGCGGCGCACCGTGGATCACCCCCTTCCTGTCTGCACGTGGCCTGCGTCTGCGTGAGGCTCTGCGTGAGGCTTGCGAGCGTCTTCTCCTCGGCCGCCGCCAGTGCACCGGCCAGCACCTTGTCAGAGTCTCCCCTCATGGCAAAAGCAAGGCAAGGGAGCTGCCTCCACGGCACGAAGCCTCAGTGGCCCCAGGCCAGGACAGGGCAAGACCTGTCGAGACTCAGGCTCAGAGACACAGCCGACTCTGCCGCACAGCACTCCTCCATGCAGACCATCTCGAGCAGACCGCCGCGGGACTGAACCTCAGCAAACAAAGCGCTGTACTTTTAGCCGACGACTCCGACTCCGGCTAAAAGCAGCCTTAAGGGCAGCCTCAGCATCGCGCCAAGACCTTGGAGTTCCCTGCCGCCTTAGCAGCGCGCCAGCTCTGCACTCCATCTCTTCCAGCTCTGCCAAGCGCCTCTGAACCGGCTTTCATGACAAACGCCGCCAAGGTGTCCTGCGATCTCTGTGCTGGGACATGTCAGGGCAACGTCAATCCCAGCGGTCCAGAAGCACTGTGGCAGCCGCCTGGGCAGCAGACTTCCAGTCAGTGAGTGGCATTCATTGGTGCTGCGGGCCGCACATGAAGGCCACTGGTCCAAGCGCTGCCCTCTGCCTCCAGAACGCACAGACCCCCATTCACTCAACAACCGCAAGCGCATGCCCCTCGCATGCCTGCAGCGCCAGCGCACCGAAGACACAGCGCAAGGTCCGGAGGACCGTCGTGAGGTGCCCGGCCTCTAACACTATTGCAAACCGAAGACCATAACGCAACAACCCCGAAGCCTGAACACCAAGCGAACACCTGAACCACAGGTTTTCGTTTCTGAACATAAGTGTGGGGTTTTGAAAACATCGGATATACAGAGGAAGGTTCGGTCAGGACAGCTAGGATAGCAAAATTCAGCTCTTGGTGGCTGTGGCAGCTTGGCTCTTCCTTTTTTAAGTACAACGCGACGTCCTACCTTCTTCGTTTCTGCTACGCCGCTACTCGACGTCGTACAGCTCTTCTATTGCGAGCTCTGTCACGCTCGCGATGCACGCTGCCCCCCCCCCCCCCCCCCCCCNNCCCCCCCCCCCCCCCTCCTCCCCCGCTCCCGCCGACGCCTCACGCATGTACTTCTGCGCGACCGGGCCCTGGCCGACGAGTTGCTGCACGCAAACCTTCTCAGCTCATGCAGAGACAGGAACAACAGGGGCAGCACTGGAAGCCGGGGGCCCTCACACAAGCGTTGCCGGCCAAGCTGAGAAGGGCTGAAGCCTCGAACACTTGTTGGATGCAGGGGAATTCAGACGAGCTGGACCTCGCGAGCCGAGTTCGTGCTGAGGCCTATGCTGAGTCAAGCGATCCTGATGCACGGGAGCAGGAAGCAATCCGAAGCAAAAGCGGTTGCCATTGTGAGGCTTAGTCGTGCCTGATGAACTGGCCACACTCAGGGCCTGAAGCTCAAGGACTGCATCTCGCTGCGCACTGCAGGGCACTGCAGAGAGCCCTGCAGGGCCTGGGTTGCGATCGCCAGCAGGGCCTCGCAGCAGCTCACAGCGAAGCGCGACGGCGCCGTCCCCCCGCGTTTAGAGCGGCCGCTTGGAGAGTGCCTCGGCTCCATCCTGGAACGTAATGATCATGCGCACGTCGCCATCTTCTGCTGTCACCAGCCGCAGGAAATGCACCTCAGAAACGCTTCAAACGTCGCAAACCAAACGGGGCAGGGGCCGTGTTCTTGCCAGGGCCGGACACACTCCGCACACAGCGCAGCCTCCTCCGGGACGTCGGCCCAGCTGGACCCACCCGCCTCCTGCGACGCTTGTCAGGCCGGTCAGGCCCTGCAAACCAACAGCGCGGGAGCATTCATGAGTTCTTCTTTCTGCTGTCAACATGCCAAGCTGAATTTGAACCAGATCACCCTCTGCATCATTGCCCGCGTAGCATGCATTTTTGCCCAAGCGTGTTCGGTGCGGGGCACGCAGCCGGTTACCGTATGCTTGTCTGAAGAGGCCTGCCATGCCGCCAGCCCGTTCTATGTTCTTGTCTGGGATGTCGTTGCCCCAAGTTCTCCGTTCTTCTAGACCAATTTGCTGCGCTGTGTTCTTTGAGGGCGTATAAAGTCCAAAGAGTTGCAAAGGTTCGTTGAAGCATGGCCCAGAGGATTGAAGTTGACGAGGGTGGGGGTGAGAGAGGGAGGGTGGGAGTGAGAAGTCAAGGGTGAAGCACTAATGGACATCATGCACTACACACTGCTGTCACTGCTGCACTACAGACATGCACTCGTTGATTCTCTCATCTTTGCGCGGTGATAGCCCCAATGCTGACGCACATCACTCGGCGTCTTCCCGTTCGACTTCTTCGCTGTTGTAGCGACAGGCTTGTCATCTTTTCAGATGTGAATTGGGAAGAACTTTTTCTCACCTGTTCTCTGAACTCCTCGCGAGACAAAGTCGGGCTGTCATCCAACAGGGCAAAACCAACAAACAAACAAACAAACAAACAAACAAACAAGCAAGCAAGCAAGCAATCAAGCAAACGTACCTTCTCGAAGAGTGAATCCTCCGAGGTGTTCTCCGGGAGACCGTGGACGGGGCCATTGTGGTAGTTACGTGCCCGCTTTTGTATTTGCATGGCATCTTATCAGTCATCTAGGCCCTCACCCAACGGTCCATTTAAGCCTTTGCTTCGTAGGCGGGTTCTGTGAATTACTGTTGTCTTTTAAACCCATCTAGCATGTGGTTGACCATATTGGAAAATGACCAACATACCCGCGTGGTACACTGCATGATGCTCATACCACCGTCACGCGGCGGTGTCCTCATAATCGCTTGACTGACTCCATCTTTCGACGGGAGATGCGAGCTCTGCCAACAGTTGCCTGGGGCCCATCCTCTGTTTATCTTCTAGTTTCGGTATCTACTGGAGGTCTCACCAGTTCCACGCAGTTCTTCGCCAGCTGCTGGATGATAGAACCATTCTTGTTCATGGCTGACTCGCGACTGACTCGCGACTGCATAGCTTGTTGATCTGTCGACATGACCATGAGGGAGTTACTTGGATCACGCAACAGGTGACCCATAACATGATCACGTGCTGCGTGTCAGGGCTGTAGCAGCTGTAGTACATTCCCTTCCTCGCTCTTCTTCATGGTCGTCTCCGTCTCAACAGTTCCTGTCTAAGCAAGTCGGATGAATGGCTTCAGCTGTACTTTGTGGATGTGGTGTGGCCGGTGTGTGTCCTTCTCTCAGTATGCTGATTACCCTCAGTCTCTTCACTCCGATGACTCTGATTTTCTTCGAGCACTTGGCGCACAAGCTTGATACAAAGGTCCTGCAAAATCTGCATCAAGGCTGCAATGGACTGTGGGTCACTGAGGAGGTGGCGGCCTAGCACCTGCGAGAGACTCCGAGATGCAACGAACTCAGAGGTCGTTTGCAAGGGCGAAGGGCACCTTGCTGGTCTGTGGATAGACGCGGCGCAGCAGCGCCAGGCCTTTTTGAAGCGCCGAGCGCAGAAGCGACAAAAAGGCGAAAAAAAGTCACCGAGCTTGGGGCTCTCCGTCCGCGAGGCCGGGTCCGTGGCCTCGATTTTTGGCGAGACTCCGAGAGGCTAAAGGGAGGGTGAGCATGCGCGGGCCGGTGATCCGCCTGCAGCAGCTTCAACATGGCCTTGCCGTTCTCCGTCCGCCGGACGATCTGCTCGTGGAAGGCGCACGTCTCCTTCACCATTCACAAGACCAGATAATGTGGAGCCCACGACCTGCCCTGTGCCTCAAAGGTAGTGCCGGTGGAGTCCAAGGCCCGGCCCATGCCGTTCAGCGTCCTCCCAGAAAAGACTCTCGGAAGCCAGGCCGTGCTTTCCTGGCCGGCCTGGCAAGAGGCGCCGCCGCAAGCTTTGCTGACCTCAAAATTGGCACAGAGTTGTCACAGCTGCTACAAGTAGTGCCCAAACCCCTTCCGGGGCACCGCACTCCACGCGGCACAGGGCAGCACAGACGACAGGAACAACCCGATCCTTGGGAATGCAAGCCTGTAAGCCTGGCAACAGCACACACACCCCTTCCCCTTTGCGGCCTCCACGACCCAGCCGTGCAAGATGGCCGCTGCCTGGCTTGTCGCCAAGACCTGGCGCCAACCCAATCAACAACCTCGAGAGTGGTTGCACTCAGAGCCTCCAGGCGCCGATAGGCTTCGAGCAGAGCTGCCTGAGCGACAAGCCAAGGCAAGACTTCACAGTCTCAGTCGTATCGGCAAGTGAGTCATAGCCTCGTCAGTGGCAAGCTGGATTTCCTTCACAGGCTTCACAATCTAGATTGGCTCAATAGCTACCTCTGATCATGCTTGCAATGACTCCCGACTTCTTGCTGTGGGCTGGCGAGTCTTTTTCCCAGCTTTGTATCAGGCCTGAATGCCATGATGCGGAGAATCTTTCGAAGGCCGCCTACCCCAACACACCAGCGGGTAGCTGATGGATCTGCAGTAGCCATGGCCACCAACCAAAATTTAGAGCCTCTACCCATCTGGCTAAAGGGCGATCTCCAGGTTTCTGGGTCGCAGGAGTCATGCAGCTAATCCACCCACTTCGTCAAGTAGGTGCTGGCCTTCAACGCGGCCTCCACCTGAGCCGTGCTCATGGTCTTGTACTTCGACAAATCCTTCGGGTTCTCCCATTCAAAGAACTTGATGCCACCCTTAGTGACGGGCTCGCGGCCAAAGTGGCAGTAGGCGGCAGTGTCCTGGTACTTCGGCTCACGCAAAGCCAGGGACTGTGCAATGGCTCCAGGTCGGCAATCAAACTCTATTTTCAGCACACTGGTGATGTCATCCACGGTCAGGTTGCCCTTCTCGCTGCCATAAGTCTCCACAAAGAGGGACAGAGGCTTGGCCACACCGATGGCATACGACAGCTGCACCAAGCAGCGCGCACTCAAG